GCCGCCACGGCTGGATGGGGGGGGGGAGAGCAGTTTACCGCCGCCTTCCCAGCGGGGTCCGAGGCGTTCCTCTCGGCGCCGCGGCCACCTGGGGGCATCCCAGGACTGCCGGCGCTGGATCCATTGTAATTCGAGGCCCGCAGTTCTCAAATATGTTTTAGGGATGGAAGGTAAGGACCTTCTCCCATTGCCCTTTAGGTCTCCGCTTCTTCTTCTAACCTTCCGGTGTCTTCTGGGATCTTCGTGCTCTTCAGAGCACAGCCAGCACATCCTGCTCAGAAGGCAGGGCCAGTAAGACTGGGGATCAGAGGATAAGCCCCTCCCCTCTGGGATCAAAGTTTGCTGGCCCTGCCTATGGAAGGGGGAGGTGCTTTCCCAGGAGTAAGAAGTCAAGGACTGCCCCACTTCTGGACCACCGGAGAATGTCTAGACAGTGTGCAACTGCAATAAAAAAGGCCAACACTATGCTGGGGATTATTAGGAAGCGAATTCAAAACAAATCAGCCAGTATCATAATGCCCCTGTATAAATCAAGGATGCAACTTTTTTTCCTTTCTCACAATACAAGAACTTGTGGACACTCCATGAAATTGCTGAGCGGTTGGGTTAGAACAGATAAAAGGAAGTACTTCTTCACTCAACAAATGATTAACACATGGAATTCACTGCCACAGGAGGTGGTGGCGGCTACAAGCATGGACGGCTTCAAGAGGGAATTAGATAAACATATGGAGCAGAAGTCCATGAGTGGCTATTAGCCAAAAGATATAGATAGGAACTCTGGGGCAAGTGATGCACTGTATTCTTGGTGCTTGGGGGGGGGGGGACAGGGGGGGGGGCTTCAGGCCCCACTGGGACCTCCTGATGGCACCTGGGTTTTGGGTACTGTGTGACACAGAGTGTTGGACTGGCAGACAATGGCAAAACCACCTCTGAATGTCTCTTACCTTGAAACTCCTATGGGATCACCGTAAGTTGGCTGCAGCTTGATGGCACTTTCCATAACATGCAGACTAGAACTTTGGCATGGATAGGGGGGATAGGGACAGACAATGTAAACTAGATTTATGAAGCCTGGGTTTAAGTAGAATTGCCTTGTCAACTGCATGTTCAAGTATTGCTGCTCCTACTTACTGCACTCTGATTTTTCAGACATCTTTATCTCTTCACCTCTGTCTTGTAGAAGTTCCAAAGCAGGATCAATTCTATAAAAACATAATATGAGAAGAGCCATTCTTGATCAGCCCATAAGACCATCTATCCCAGAATCCTATTTCTAACAGTGGCCCAAATACAGTGAAAGGGGGGGAGGAGCTATAACTGGAAAGACAGGCACATATGGATACCTCCTATTATATATACATGAGTATTCAGCAGATTGTATGGCTGTGAGATGTAGTGTCTCAGGTGCACGTCATTCAGACCCAGTGACTCTTTAATTCTTGTTAATGCTATTTTAATTGTATTTGGGTATTTTCATTGATTCTATTATTCATTATGTGAATCTATGTTGAAAGGAAGGTGTATAAAGACATATGTATTATTAGCCCTGGAATATCATTTCTTTCTACTTGTTTGATTTTGTTCAACTCCTCCCCCCCACTCAGTTCTGGCATGGGGCTAGGACTTTTTGCATTTGCAGACCAACAAAGAATTCATTTCTGCACTCAGCAGTTCCTCAGTCCTTCAACAGCAATTTTTTAAAATCACCCATAAATCCAACTACTTACCCATTTCTGATATATTAAAAGAGATCATTATTGTCTTAGTGGGTTTGGCTATAAACTCATTTTTCAGTTTGGTGTAGTGGCTAAGTGTGCGGACTCTAATCTGGGAAAACCGGGTTTGATTCCCCACTCCTCCACCTGCAGCTGCTGGATGACCTTGGGCAAGCCATAGTTCTGACAAGAGCTCTCTCAGCCCCACCTACCTCACAGAGTGTCTGTTGTGGGGAGGGGAAGGAGAAAGAGTTTGTAAGCCGCCTGTTGTGGTGTCATCCTGGATGCACTCCTGCATGTTTTCATCTAAAGTATTCATTTTGTCTGAGCTTCTATTTGAATGGCTTTAAGTAACCCCCAGGCCACCTAAAGAAATTTGATTTTCCCTTTCAGCTTCCTGAACACTAACTTCATTTTATTTACTTTTGCAGAAAAGACTTTTCTTCTCTAGAAATTAAATGGGATGGTGTTGGATTTCCTGGGCAGCCTCCAATTCTCATATATATTTGACAAAGACTGTGGTCCGCAGTGTGGTGCCCACCGACACCTTTCCTGGTACCTGCCAAGCGTTTCTAGAAACTGAGGGGGGTCAGATAGGGCTTCTGCACAGAAGACCCTCTGACTGGCTGTGCAGATTCTTATGTTGTTTTGGCAGCAGCGACCAAACTAACACAAGGATCTTTACTGCATGACAAGTTATATGGTAGAGAATATTCAACAACAGTGTTTTCATTTAAAAATGCATCTTGTTACCACACGGCTTCTGCCTGAAATGTTATTACAAGACTTAGAATCATAGAATCGGAAGGGACCTCCAGGGAATTCACAAATACCTCCACCCACACCCCCAGTGACCCCTGCTCCACACCCAGAAGATGGCAAAAAACCTCTATGATCCCTGGCCAAAAATCGCTGCCTGACCCCAAAGTGGCAATCAGCATTTCCCTGGGTGTGCAAAAAAGGGCTACGAGAACTAAGCACTGAGGCAACCCTTCCTGCCATCCTTCTCATGATCTGCCTAAGTTCACAGAATCAGCATTGCTGTCGGATGGCCGTCTAGCCTCCATTTGAAAACCTCCAAAGAAGGAGAGCCCACCACCTCCCGAGGAAGCCTGTTCTACTGAGGAACTGCTCCCACTGTCAGAAAGTTCTTCCTAATGTTTAGCCAAAAATTCTTCTGATTTAATTTCAACCTGATGGTTCTAGTCCAACCTTCTGGGGCAACAGAAAACAACTCTGCACCTTCCTCTATATGACAGCCCTTCAAGTACATATTTGCTACCCCTCCCAATTTAATATCCATCTGCAAATTTAATAAGCATTCCCTCTGTTCCTTCCTCCCAATCATTGATAAAGATGTTGAACAAAACAGGTCCCAGGACAGATCCTTGAGGCACTCCACTTGTCACTCCTCTCCAAGAGGATGAGGAACCATGAACAAGCACTCTTTGGGTGTGATCCTAATAGCCATAGGATTCAAACCACATTTTACCAATTTGTCAACAAGAATATTATATGGAACCTTATCAAAAGCCTTATTGAAATCAAGATAAACTATGTCTATAGCATTCCCCTGACCCAGCAAGGTTGCAACTTTCTTGAAAAGAGTGATAAGGTTAGTCTGACATGACTTGTTCTAGAGAAACAAGTTATGCATGGCCTCACTCACTGTCATTTTGCAGTTGACTCCACCTCATATGGCAGCCATTTTGTAGTTGCACCCACCACCCTGTCAGCATTTCAAAGGCACCCGCAGGCTCAAAAAGGTTGGCAACCCCTAGACTAGAATCACTCTTTCTGAGCAATTTGACAGCCCTTGCATCAAATCCCTTCACAAGCAAGGTTGAAAGCAATGTGCATAGAAGTGCAAGCAAGCACAACAGCTTTGGTCCTGCTGGCTTATGAGCACAGCATATGCATGCGTAGACGCCATACCTGTAATCAGGAATGCTTGAAAGAGAGCTCTCAACCATAGGGAAGGAGTTTATGAATGTACACTTCCTGTGTTCACAGATACTGTGCTCACAAGCCAACAACTGTATGCAGTTAAGGGGCAGGGGCAGTGCACATGTGCCCACTCACTCTTTGTGCAAGTTGATTTCAATGTGTGTAGTGTCATTTGCAGAAGGCTCAGGTCCTGATGTCTTATCGTCACAACTACGCTCATACATTCACCCAGTGAACATGAAAACTGTTCAAGTCAACTGTTATTATAACCTTTTTCTACTTTGGCTGTCTGATTTCCTTTTGCAACTCAAAGACAAAACCAGTCAACAAGGTAGAAAGGCAAGTTCTGCTTTATGATGTTAATTGCTAAGCTTACTGTTGCGATGTGTGGGGGGGGGGGGGTGGGGGAGGTGTGAGATTTTACCTGGTCTCTGCTCTCCCTGGTCTCCTTACTTCCGGGGTCTCTGCTCTCATACTCAATCCACACAGCTGCCAAATCCACCGGACTCCTTACTGCTTTTCCAATGCTTTGCGGACAGAGGTCCTTTCTGCTCGCAGACATCTCTCCTCACTCACTGCTGTCCACAGACAAAAGTCCAAGCATGAAGGATCCTTCTTCACGAAGCCTGCAGAGGATGTAAGATTTATTGTATCGTCGGGGGAAACTGCCTGGGGGAAAAAAAGGAAGGTAGCCCATTCTTAATACACTAGCCAGTGGTGGAAGCCTCAAAGAAAGAGGATAGAACTATCAGCTGCTACTACACATGACTGCAAGGCAGAACTGCCATGCTCAAAGGCAGTATACCATTAGACAAGATGAATAAAAATCAATTTTTAAAAATGTCAGTTTTACTTAAATCAGACTTGTTTACTGTTTATATTCTGTTAGTAGTTTTACTTTTGAAAATGATTTACTTTAAAATGAAATATAAATTTCATGCTACAATGATCCCTTAAGATTGATTTCACGATCATATATATATGTAGTCCTTCTGTATGAACTTCCTCCATCCGAACAGAAACTTCATCCAATATGACTTCACATAATATAACTCACTTCAAAAAGGATGTGGACAGAATGGAACAGGTGCAGAGGAGAGCGACGAAGATGATTGGGGGTCTGGAGACCAAGCCCTACGAGGAAAGGCTGGGGGACTTAGGAATGTTCAGTCTGGAGAAGAGGAGGTTGAGGTGAGACATGGTTGCTCTCTTGAAGAGGAGGGCAGGGAGCTGTTCGTGTTGGCAGCAGAGGATAGGACTCGCAATAATGGGTATAAATTAAGGGCGGGAAAGTACTGGCTGGATATTAGAAAAAACTTTTTTACAGGAAGAGTTGTGCAACAGTGTAATCAGCTGCCCAGGGAGGTGGTGAGTTCCTCCTCACTGGCAGTCTTTAGGCAGCGGCTGGACAAACACTTGTCAGGGTTGCTCTAGGCTGATCCTTGCACTGAACAAGGGGGTTGGACTAGATGGCCTGTATAGCCCCTTCCAACTCTGTGATTCTGTGACTCTTGTATTGGAGGAAAGCCTCCAACTTCACTTGGGGCAATGGTAGGGTACAGACCACTAAACTAAAGCTTGCTTGTCTATGCAATAGGGGAGAAAACTGACTTCTGAGGTCCAGCATTAAAAATATACCATAGGGCATGTATAGCATTTATTACTTCAGCTAACTTTTTGACTGTGTTAACCAAACCGCATGGACACTTACTGGCCAAAACAATGTTTCTTTATGAGACCAAATACCATTCTTGCTTCTGCAAAGTTCTAGGTACTTTACACAAAGCTCTGCACATATAATGTGGTGATCTATAGTAACTCTTGTATCCTAGTAAATTCTATGCCCGCCCTTTTCATGTATACAGGCAATCAAATCATTGAAGACTCTTCAAGATAAGAAAGGGGAGGATTCGGGTTACCAAATTGGAAATTAGATTACCAGGCGGCAGCTCTACGTTTGATAAATGAATGGATCTGTTTTGAAAATATTAGAACTTTAAAATTGGAAGGACACGATCTAAACATAGGATGGCATGCATACGTGTGGTATGGGAAGGATAAGATACACTATAATTTTAGACATCATATAAGAGGAGCTCTAGTGCGGATATGGAATGAAATTAAAGAAAGACACTATACTAAGATACCAAGGTGGGTATCACCACTAGAAGCATTTATTAAACCTTCCCTTATCAACGCATGAGATAGAGAAAGCTATGACAATTAGATAAGAATAATAACCTAAAATCCGAGGAGAGCCTATTATCTCTTTATAAGATTAAACTAACCTGATGGGAAACTATGCAACTACAACATGGTATTCTAAAGATGTGAAAATAGTTTTTGAAGAAACTAAAACACAACTGGACAAGTTTTGGTCATCAACAAGTGACAAAATGATACAGAAAATATACGGATTTCTGTTAGCAGAACGTATCCAAAAAGAAATAGTGCAACAATGATATCTTGGATGAAGGATATAGGTTATAATATAGACATAGACAAATGGGCAAATATATGGAAAGCGGTAAAATACATGAGAGATAATCCATCATTATCTAAAAACTGCTGGGAATGTAAAACAAATGTGAGAACTTTTTTTTACATGTGGTGGCGTTGTGAAAGAGTAAAAAGAGTGTATAGATACTGGAAGATGGTACAAAACACAATAACAAAAATAACGAATATAAAAATGGATTTGTCACCTGAAATTGTTTTGTTAAACATAATACCGGAAAGTTATAAATGGAAAGATAAATATATGATAATATATATACTTACAACTACTAAAATTTTGCTTGCCAAGTACTGGAAGCAAGAACAGCTTCCCACAAGAGAGGAAATAGCGTGTAAATTACTAGAAATGGCAGAAATGGACAAATTAAGCCTAATACTCCAAGGGAAGGAGGATAATATCTTTGTAGAAAGATGGATGCGTTTGTATGTGGATTAATACGATATGGGAAATTTAGACTCCAATGTATATAAGAGGAAATATGTAAGTTGATGTATATTCTGAAAAATGAAAATAAAAGTTATTAAAAAAAACAGGTTGGAACATCAACAGAGGCTGGAGGAAGTTGATAGACAGAATACCATCACATGAGAGAAAGCTATGTGGCATAGAAGTCAGCAAGTATAGCTTCATCTGCTGATAAGATTTACTCTTGGCTAATCTCACTGCAAAAGTCAATTCATGGAAGAAAATTCTTGAGCGGATCCTGGATATTATCCTTTCCCCCCCCTCCGAGCAGGTACTGGCGTTCTTTGGTTCTAGTAACTACATCGGTGACCACAGCAATGGAAACTTTCTAGGCATAACTGAAATTAAATATGATGCACTTCTCTTTGAACATGTTGAAAATGTTCAAGAGTCACAAGAGAATCAGAAGCGCATGCAAGCAAATTATCTCTCCACAGGCATCCAGAAACAATTCATTAACAATTGTGGATCATTTGTACAAAAATTTATTCTTAATGAGATCCAAAATGCCAAATATTTTCCAATAATGATTGATGCTACACCAGATAGCTCTAACAAGGAATAAACCACTATCATCATTCGATATATAAAGGTTTTCAATGAAAGCTCAGAATTTTCAATCGAAGAGAGGTTTTTGTGTTTTGACAATTTTGCAAAAAAGACTGGAAATGAAATTGCTGCTCGAGTTCTAAACATTCTTGGAGAGCTGGGGTTAGATTTTCAATACTGCATCGGCCAAGGCTATGATAATGGATCCAACATGGCTGTCAAATATAATGGTGTACAATCAATTCTCCTACATTTTCTCTAGCTGTAGGAACCACACATTAAACCTTATAGTTGTTGTCTGTGCTGAATCATGTAAAGAGGCAGTTAAGTACTTTGGAAAATACAGCAAATGTACAATTTATTCAGTAGCAGTCCTCAAAGGTGGGAAATCTTAAAGCAACATCTTCCTGTTTCACTGCATGGGATGTCAAAAACTAGATGGTCTGCAAGGACTGATGGAGTAAGACCAATTGCACATCATATGGGTGAAGGAAGAAAGGCTTTAAGTGAACTGGAATATCTCAATCTCACTGAACTCACTTCTTATCCAGAAATACATGTCAAAAACTGAATTTGTTCTAATGACATCCCTGTGGGTTAAGTTACTTACAATGATCCATCAGACTAATCTGGTGATTGAAGTACGTAATGCTACACTTGATGTTGAGAGGAGCAACATTGAAAGCCTCATTGCTGACATTCAGCAGGTTCGTGAACAGTGGGATGCGATCTTGAATGTAGCCAAACTGGTAGCACAGAGTCAGAATAATGTCCACTTTTGTTACTGTTACTCTTTAGTTACTGTTGACCAGTGTTCCCTCTAAGCTGAGTTAGTGTGAGCTAGCTCACGGTTTTTTAGCCTCCAGCTCACACGTTTTTGCCTCAGCTCAGGAAGGAGGGCTCCAGAGGAAACTGATTGATGCAGTAGCCGAACTGCTCACTCACAACTTGAAGGCCAGGAGCTCACAAAGTAGAATTTTTGCTCACAAGACTCCACAGCTTAGAGGGAACAGTGCTGTTGACTCAATAATATCATGTCTTAGAAGGCAGTTTGTCACTCAATATAATTTGTAACCTGTTTGAGTTTCTCTGGAAATTTAATGACCTCATTATTGAAGATCTACGTTCATCAGCAGAAAAATTCCAAAGGAATTAAGCAAAAGAAATATCACTGGATCTGTCTGATTAGATGATTTTCCTCAAATGAATATATTCCATAAACTTGTCATTTTGTAGAAAAAAGGTGCAGGAGCTCATTAGCATAACTCATTAGCATATGCCAGACTCAAAAAACAGGATCACGAAACCATGGGGAAAATTGGGCGAAGTCATGGGTCAAAATGTGGCTGCGTGGCTTCAAGTGGGAAATTGACCAATGGAAGCGGGGCAAAGGGAGGCATGACGGTGGTGCAGCTGCTTGTGCGAAATCAGCCAGACACAAAGACACTTACAGAGCGGCAGAGAGAGAGAAACAGAGGGGCAGAGAGAGAGACAGAAGGGGCAGAGAGACACACAAATGGACACACAAACATAGAGGGGCAGACATTTAAATGCAGGGAGAGCCAAGGAAGGGCCTCCCCCCCATTCTCTCCTGGCTCACCTGCCTAGCAGGCGAGCCTGGAAGGGCCGGGAAGAAAGCGGGGAGACATTTAAATGCCTCCCTGTGCCTTCCTTGGCTCACCCGCCCAAGCGGGCGAGCCGAGGAAGGCTCCTAGAGGGGCCCCCTGCCCTCTCTGCAGACTTGGAGTCGCGCCACAGTGGCGGCGCGATGTTTCCATTATATTCTACTAGAAATAAGGCCCGTTGTGGAAATAAATACAACGAGATCTAGAAAGAGGCTCTGGGAGAGTGCTCTGGCTTTGGGCAAACAGTGTCAGTTTCCTGTGGCGACCTCAGCAGGGTATAATGACAGAGTGCACTGTTTTCTCCAGAGGGACTGATCTGTCCTACCTGAAGAGCATTTGTATTTTTGAGTTATCTGTAGCCCTCACCTGGAGAGTGGTAACAATTGTTACCCAGGCTCCACCCCTCAAATCTCCAGGAATTTCCATACGTAAAGGTGGCAATGCACCAAACAGAGGGGGACAGAGAGGGGGGAAGAAGGTAAGAAGGGGGTTGGAGGGAGGACTGCAGAAGC